CCGTCTCTGCACTTTGACCACCGGTTGAGCGGGTATTATCGGGGGCGCGAGACGTTCCTGGTGGATGACAGTGCTGCTGGGACATATACTGTTGTTCTGGTATAAATAACTCCAGAACCCCATCTTGGAATTCACGATTTAAGTGACTTTTTGGAGCACCGATATTTTAGTGAATTGTATTATACTGTATTTTATACTGTTCTTTATATAGTTATATTGTTTTAACCTTGGCATTTATGCCTCTTTGTGAGCCGCCCTGAGCCTTTGGAGAGGGCGGGATATAAATCCAAAAATTAAATAAATAAATAAATAATGTACTATGCAGTCCCAGGGCAATACATATGCAGGGTATACAACCACTAAGTCTGGTGAAAGGATTGATATGGAACCTCTTGTTTCACTTCAACAAACCAACCACACCAATTTAAAAAAAAATCAGCATAGGGTTGCCAACCCCTAGGTGGCCCCTGGAGATCTCCAGGAATTACCAGTTGTTCTTGTTCAGTCGCACAGTCGAGTCCGACTATTCGCGACCCCATGGACCGGTTCACGCCAGGCCTTCCTGTCTTCCGCCGTCCTCTGAAGTTTGCTTAGTTTCATGTTCATTGCATCTATGACACTGTCTAACCATCTCATCCTTTGCCGTCCCCGTCTTCTTCGACCTTCAATCTTTCCGAGCATCAGGGTCTTCTCCAGTGAGTGCTCCCTTCTCATTGGGTGGCCAAAGTATTTGAGCTTCAGTTTCAGTATCTGGCCTTCCAGGGAACAGTCAGGGTTGATTTCTTTGAGGATTGACTGATTTGATCTTCTTGCAGTCCAAGGGACTCTCAAGAGTCTTCTCCAGCACCATAGTTCAAAAGAATCTATTCTTCGGCGCTCGGCCTTCCTTATAGTCCAACTCTCACAGCCATACATGACTACTGGGAATACCATTGCTTTGACCATGCGGACTTTTGTTGGCAGGGTGATGTCTCTACTTTTTATCATGCTGTTTAGGTTCGCCATCGCTTTCCTCCCAAGGAGCAGGCGTCTTTTAATTTCATGGCTGCTGTCACCGTCTGCGGTGATCTGGGATCCCAGGAACGTGAAGTCTGTCACTACTTCCAGTTGACAAAGATCAGCCTACAGATCTCTAGACTGCAGGGATCAGTTCCCTCGGATAAGATGGCTGAGTAGGAGGGTGGACTCCACAGTCATTCGACCTTGCTGAGGTCCCTCCCCTTCCCAAATAATCCCACCCTCCTCAGGCTCCACCCCCAAATCTCCTGGAATTTCCCCTCCCAGAGCCGGCTACCCTAAATCAGCAGCAGCAAAAATCTTTTTCAATCGTTAAGCAGCAGATGGCAGTATCAAGCTCTGTAAGAGGTTCTGAAACCGAGTGGAAGAGAACAGAAAATGAAACCAGCAATTTAAAACAAAATTGCAAAAGGTCAGCTGAGCCTGCTGAGCGGGGGAATGAATCTAATTACCCAGTGCCCAAAGAAATAGAGAATTAATGACACGGGCTATTAACTTTACAGTGATATGGGGAGTACAGTTCTGCCCCAAGCACCTTGAAATGTCAAGGTGTGGCCCTTGCCTTTGCAAGCAAAGTCAATTTTACTTGCAGAACTGTCATCAGTGGAGAGAGGATCCTTCACTAAAGGGAATCTCAACAAGAAAAAGATTAACATATTGGATCATTATGCAATTAGAGTCCTTGGGAAAACTTTTGGCTGCTCCAGGAACACAGAAGGGAAAAAATAATAATAAAAGACCTTAATTGGATAGCAGACGCCAGGTTAGATAAATGCAAGACTACAGCCACCTAGAAGCAATTTAAACATCATAGATGAGAAACATGACCCAGTGCAATCCCGGTTGGAGAGACTACACACCCACTGCTCTGGCGCTTGCATTAATTACGCCTCATTTATTATCCTCAACACATTTACACCCTGCCTTTCATCCAGGTGGATCAGCAGGGTTGCTTATAGCAGATTTTAAGATATGGTGTAATGTAAAGCAATATTTAAAAAACCAAAAAGCCCCGAACCCATAGATCAATGAGCAGATTAAAAAAAAGACTTGCGGCATCACATGTCAGAGGAGAGGACCTCTCCAAAAGAAAACAGTGTTAAGCTTGGTGCAGGAAACTGGGAGTGAAGATGGCAAGGTTGAGATCCCTGGGGCAGGAGCTCACAGTCATGGTGCTGCTACAGAGAAGGCCCTGTTATTTACACCCACTTGACAAATGTCAGGGGGAGGGGGAAGTCTCCGAAAGCAGTAGCACAGCAGCAAGAGTGGGTGAGCACAGGGTCTGCACACACACCCATTTTCACTCTACTCATTGCAGCTTAGGGTTACCAACTCCAAGTTGGGAAATTCCTGGAGATTTGGGGGTGGAGCCTGGAGAGGACAGAGTTTGGGGAGGGGAGGAACCGCAACAGGGTATAATGCCATAGAGCCCATTTTCCAAAGCAGCCATTTTCTCCAGGAGAACTGATCTCTGTCATCTGCAGTTCAGCTGTAATACCAGGAGATCTCCAGGCCCCACCTGGAGGTTGGCAAGCATCCTAATTCTGCTTCCACCACCCCCTCCCATCCCAGGCACCTCTCCTCTTTCCTCCATTATGCCTGTGCAAAAGCACAGCACAACAACAATCATTATCCTCCCCCCTCCGAAGTCTGGACACCCCCCTTCCCTTACTTTCTTATCCCAGCTGCACTGCAAACCATGTGGACTTCCTCCTCTTCATGCGGGGGGTGGGGGGAGAAATCCCGATGTGGAAGCTGCCATACAGTCCAGTTCTATGCAGAATTACACCAGAATTAATTATCCTTGCCTATCTGACAGTATCTCCCTTGTGATAGGCACAAAACCCCTGCTTCCGGTTAGCCAGGAGAGCTACAGGGGAGGGAGGGGGTGGTCCAGAATCTGTTTTGTTATGTATTGAGCCTAAGCCAACTCTGAATGTGGACCTTGAACTGGGTGAGTTTGCTCCCCAAGAACAATAGCTGACCAGGATCCTGGAAGTGACCTATAGATAAGCAGTGTAATGTAAATAGCCTATCCTAGGGAGTGGGTGGGTGTGGGATGTGGTGTTTGCATGCTTTATAAGCAGGGCTCAAACCCTGTTGGGTGTCCTTGTTGTGTTCCTGAAATCACTAAATAAACTAGAGCTGATCACTGCAATGCGTCCAGAACCCAGTTGTGACGACCCCTTAACTGGGGAGGTCTGGTTTTACTTTAAAATTGTTCTTTATGTTTTGTTCAACTGGGTATACGGCTGCCACCAGGAAATTTAAGGCTTTCCAAACCTTTATAATATAATATTTTTATCTACTGGGTAGATAACACCTTTAACACCTTTTATGAAGTTATTCGTTCTCTTGTTGCTGCCCCAGTGTCTGCATTCCTCTGCCTGGCAAACGGTTGGTGCCTTGCCCAGCCCCTCCACCTGAGACCTGTCCCGCGGGGGGGGGGGGGGATCTTGAGCAGTCTAGCAGGGTTATCTCTGCAGAGTGAGCTACAGAAGCATAAGAATGCTGCAGCTGCAGTGGTCATGTTTCCTTCCCTGGGTGTGCGCCTGACGAAAGGATAGTGCAGAGGTGTTTTCTGTTGCCCCAGAAGGTCGGACCAGAACCAACGGATTGAAATTAAATCAAAAGAGTTTTCGGTTAAACACTAGAAAGAACCCCCTGACAGAGAGGTTCCTCACAGGCTTCCTCGGGACTGGGAGGCTGTGGGCTCCTCTTTGGAAAATTTTAAGCAGAAGCTAGATGGCCCTCTGACAGCAATGCTGATTCTGTGAACTTAAGCAGATCACAAGAAGGGAGGGGCAGGAAGGGTTGCATCAGTGCTTAGTTCTTGTGGCCCTTTCGTACACGCCCAGGGAAATGCCGGTCGCCACTTTGGCCATCTTCTGGGCATGGAGCAGGGGTCACTGAGGGTGGGTGGGGGGAGGTAATTTTGAGTTTCCTGCATTGTGCAGTGGGTTGGACTAGATGACCTTGGAGGTACCTTCCAACTCTATGATTCTATGAAAGGGTACTTGATTGCAGGCAGGGACTTAATAGGGCTGACTTATTTAAAGGCCCCGGCCACACGAGAGGATTTGGGCCGGGAGAGGGACGGATCAGGGGCGGAGCAAACGGGCGCGATCCCACCGCAACATCTGGGAAGCGTTGCACGCCTGTCCCCGATCCGGCCCTTCCAACGATAACCCACAGCAAAAAAGAACCACCTACCAAGGTGGTTCTTTCCAAAAGGCCGCATCAAAGCCGGCCATGGGATCGCCGGCGCATTCTTCCACCGGCGCATCCCCGGGTCCTGGCCGAACTGCGCATGCTCAGACCTGCGCAGTTCGGCAGCCTCCTGTGGCTTACTCCCCGGTCTTCCCGGCATCTGATCGTGCCGGGGAGCAATTGCACGGCAGCTCACGGGATCTGTATGATCCCGCCGCCGGGTGCCTATTTTGGTGCGGCTTTTAAAAGCCGCACTTTGCCTCTCCTTTTTGTCCCTCGTGTGGCAAGGACCTTATTTTACTAAATTTGTATCCCACCTTTTTGCCCTCAGAAGGGCCACCAAGGCGACTAGCAGATTAATACATAATAAACTCACAATTAAAACCAGCATTAATCCGGTTTACAATGGGACATGGGCGGGCGCCGGATGCCAAGGGTTTCCAGCGGAAACGCGATCAGACGCCCGCCCTTGCCCCGCGTTTTCCGGAAACAAGTACATCGTATGTGGTGGTTTTTTACTCCGCATCTTCGGCAACAAGCCACGGGTTAGCCCCGGGTGCACTACGCTTCCCAGATGTTGCGGTGTGATCACGCCCAAAAAATCCGCCTATCATCCGTGTCTTCAGCGTGGCAACTTCTCCGTGTGAACGGGGCCTTTGTAAGGCAAAGCAGAAGAAATATGGCCAGGACTGCAATTAAAAAGCTGAGACCGGAAACGTGATCGTTGTCCCTCTCCTTGCCTGTTTTGGTCAACAGTCTGTGACAAGAGGGGAGGGGCTGTGGCTCCGTGGCAGAGCATCTGCTTGGGATGCAGAAGGTTCCAGGTTCAAACCCTGGCGTCTCTAGTGCGAAGGGTCAGATGATGACACAAATGACTTCCTCCTGAGATCCTGCAAAGCTGCCTCCAGACAGAGCAGAGGATACTGACCTGAATAGACCAACAGTCTCATTCAGTATAGGCAGGGGTCATTTCGTAGAAAAAGAGGTGCAGGAGCTCATTAGCATAACTAATTAGCATAACTTATTTGCATATGCCACACCCCCTGACATCACTGGAAGTGTGTCAGAAGGCAACACCCACCGCTCAGGCTCCACTGGCCTGTTTTGGATTGCTAACTATTGGGGGGGGGGGAACGTGCAGATCTGCCCTCGCAAAGGAGGGAGAGCTTGTACCTGCATAAAACTTGGTCTTAAAGGTGCTACTGCAGCCCGAACCACAATTGCCACTTGCTGGAAGGACACCAAACCTCCGACTGTAATGTTATGGTACCAGAAGCTCTGGGACCATTTTCTAATGGATTCAGTTACTGGCAAAATAAACAATTCAGCTTTAAAACCAATACTAAGACCGATAAAGGAGAAGTGGACCCCCATACTTGAATTTTTGGCCTCACAGGAATATTTACCGGCTTCTTGGCAACACTTACAGAGATGGATGTGATTGTTCTTGCACCGTAGCTAATATTTCTTGTTCTTCACCTTACAGAGTTCGCATCAGTACCAAATAATATCTGTCTAAAGTAAATAACGCAGTAGATATCAAGAGAAAATAAGTTGTACATCACTGTTATGGATATTGGTTATATTTGTTTGTTAAGCGAATGTACATTTCTTATCTTTATAGACATTGCACTATGTATCTTTTGCTATACTAGTTACTGGTTATGATATCCTATGCTATTTGAGTTTTGTTCAAATCATTAATATAATAAAATATAAATAAATAAAAAAAGGTGCTACTGGACTGTTTTGGACGGGGGGCGGCGGCAGGGGAAGCTCTGCAACTTACCTGGCTGCTTCTTGCTCTGACTGAGGGCTGCTGGGAGCAGAGGGTGGGGCTTGTTGCATGTGCCCGCCCCTTGGGCTCTTTACTGCCGGAGCTCTGCTCCTGTAGGAAATTACCCCTGAGCAGGGGTCTTGTTGTAGAAAAAGAGCTGCCGGAGCTCATTAGCATAACTCATTAGCATAACTTATTTGCATATGCCACGCCCCCTGACATCACCGGAAGTGACAGAAGGCCACACCCCCTGACATCACCGGAAGTGTGTCAGAAGGCCCGGCTACTTACCCTCCTGCTTCATCCTCATTCCCAAACGGAATGAGGATCGAAGCAGAGGGCGGGGTAAAGAAGGGGGCGGGGCTTCACCACGTGACCGCCCCGCCCCCTAGAGGTTCTCTTCCGGAGCTCCGTACCTGAGAGCTCCCCCCCGACTAGAGCCCTGCCCCTGAGTATAGGTAGAAAAAAAATCTGCTCTGCTCCAACTGGAATGCAAGTCAGCCATCAGCACAGAATACATCAGCAACTCTGTTTGACAGTCTGAGAATAAAAGCATTGGTTTTGGAGTACAAGCAAAGACATTATCTACTCCTCTGTTAGAGAAGGGTTGTCAGGTCCCGTTTGGCCACCAGCAGGAGATGGGGGATAGGGTTGCCAGATCCAGGTTGGGAAACTCCTGGAGATTTTGGGGGTGGAGCCTAAGGAGGAGAGGGCTCTCAGTGAAGTACAAGGCCACAGAGTCCACCCTCCAAAGCATCCATTTTTTTCCTTGGAAAGTGATCTCTATAGTCTGGAGATGAGCTGTAATTCTGGGAAATCCCCAGGTCCCACCTGCAGGCTGGTATCCCTAAACCTCAGATTTAAAGAGGATCTAGGAAGGTTTGCAAATTGTATGCATCTCATGTTTTTGAGCCATGGCAGGTTTGTGAGCCTGTGGGCGTATGAGCACCAATCCAGGGGTCATTTCGTAGAAAAAGAGCTAGGGGAACTCATTAGCATAACTCATTAGCATATGCCACCCCCCCTGACATCAGGGGCCCGGCGGTGGACCTGCAAGGCCAGCGGGAGTGCGAGGAAGCCCTGCCAAGGCCCTCCCTGGCCCCAGGCAGGCAGGGGTGGGGAGAGGCAGGGAGGAAGCAACTTACACTCCCTCTTCTCCTGCCTCCTCCTGGCTGAATGAGGGCCGAAAGCGGGGCGGCCGGAAGCAGGGGGCGGGGCTTCGTCATGTGCCCCGCCCCCTGCACCTCACTCGGGGGAACTGTGTTCCCCCGCGTTCCCCCCCCGAAATGACCTCTGCACCAATCTACAATTTGATTTTCCTTTCAGCGGGTACCGCTGGTCTCCTTTCAGTGCAAGAGTCTGTGCCTCTGATTCATATCAGTTCACAATTCAAGTCAGAATTGAAAAGGCTTAATATGATGAACAGTTTCCCAAGGCTAAAATGATTCAGCAGCAGTGGGTGTTTACTGGGTTCACAACCCAGGTCGTGAATCAAACTGTTTGTTAACCTGATTATAGCAACAATTATGCAAATGACGCAAGTCCTGAACAGGCAGCCCAATCTGGTGCATGTTTACTCAGTAGGAATTCCCACAGAGTTCAAGGGACTGGCTCCAGCAGTGACTCCAAGGAATAGCAAGGGATAGTGAGTTCTCTCCCAAATATTTTCCACTTCCCTTTTAGTTTCTCATTCTTTGTCAAAATGTGTTAAAGTCCAAGAGCCTGACTGAACATTTTATTTTCCTCCATTCTGTAAAAGATGTGTTCATAGGGTTGCCAACTCTGGGTTGGGAAATTCCTGGAGACTGGGGGGGGGGGCGGAGACTGGGGAGGACAAGGTTTGTGGAGGGGGGTCCTCTGGTTAATATCAGGGGAGGGGGTTCCTCTGCTTAGTACTTTAGCAGGGTCTAATGCCACAGCGTCCACCCTACAAAGCAGCTATTTTCTCTAGGGGAATTGATCTCTGTCATCTGGAGATGAGCTGTGATCCAATGAGATCTCCTGGAGGCAACCCCTGTTAAAACCCTTAATAATGCTCTTTGGCAGGGCTTTTTTTTGTAGAAAAAGTCCAGCAGGAACTCATTAGCATAATAGGCCACACCCAGCAGCAGAAACTCATTAGCATATTGGGCCACACCCCTGACAGCACAGCTCATTGGCATATTAGGCCGCACCCCCATGTTACCAGGTGTGGTCATCCAGCCACACCCACCTTTTGCTTCTTATTCTGTTTACCTTGTTTGTTGCCAAAATCCAGGGCTTTTTTTTGTAGCAGGAACTCCTTTGCATGTTAGGCCACACACCCCTAATGTAGCCAATCCTAATGAGTTTCTGCTGTTGGGTGTGGCCTGTTATGCTAATGAGTTCCTGCTGGGCGTGGCCAACTTGGGAGCCAACCGGAACTCCGTTCCTGTGTGTTCCTGCCCAAAAATAGCCCTGGTCTTTGGCACCCCTTTGTGAATCAAGCCAACACTCCTAAGTGTAAGCAGAGGTCATTTCGGGGGGGAACGCGGGGGAACACAGTACCCCCGGGTGAGGTACTGGGGGGCGGGGCACATGACGAAGCCCCGCCCCCTGCTTCCGGCCGCCCCGCTTCCGGCCATCATTCAACCAGGAGGATGCAGGAGAAGAGGGAGGGTAAGTTGCTTCCTCCCTGCCTCTCCCCACCCCTGCCTGCCTGGGGCCAGGGAGGGCCTTCGCGGGGCTTCCTTGCACTCCCGCCGGCCTTGCAAATCCACCGCTGGGCCCCTCATGGGGCTCGGCAGTGGAGCTGCAAGGCCGGTGGCGGCGGCCGGGACCGTTGGGGGCGGGGTGTGTGGCCTTATGACACATTTCCGGTGATGTCAGGGGGTGTGGCCTTATGACACACTTCCGGTGATGTCAGGGGGTGTAGCATATGCTAATGAGTTGTGCTAATGAGTTCCCCTAGCTCTTTTTCTACGAAATGACCCCTGAGTGTAAGTACCCAGTTTGGCAACAATATAGTACATGTTTACCTCATCACAATGTGACGTATTTCTAAGTAACCATGCAAGGAAGTGGCTGTGAATTTGATTCACTGGACATAATGACTTCTCCCCATTTCCATTAAAAGGGGAAGAAAGTTAACATTTCATTGGCAGAGAGAAAGATGAGTAGATTACTTTGAAATCACAGACCGTCTTTGAGTATTTAAGCTTGCATGTATTTTTGTACTCTCTTGAAGTAAAAAAAACCCTTGGTTCTCTCAAACCTAGCACATTATTATCTGTTATAATTATATTTATGTAGCGCCATCACTGTGAATGGCAGTTTACAGAATAACTACAAAAAGAGACAACACTGGAATCTGTGTGCCTGTGGCTCTCTCTCTTTCTCTGAATGCTTGATGAAATCCAAACTGTCTCCACAAAAAGCTTGAGAGGATCTGTGCTTTGGCTTTTGGTTTTATTTGCCATGACAGAGTCACAAAACAAGCAATCAAGGACTTAAGAGCAGCCATATTGAATTGGACCACTGACCTATCTAGTCCAGCATCACCTTCTTTCACGCAGGGGCCAACCAGATGCCACTGGAAGGCCTACAAGGTCACAGAGGACAAAGGCTCACTCTGTTATTTCCAACTATACCCTCCCAGCACTGGTATTCAGAAGGTTTTGTTGTTGTTCAGTCGCAGTCGAGTCCAACTCTTCGCGACCCCATGGACCAGCTCCCGCCAGGCCCTCCTGTCTTCCACTGTCCTCTGAAGTTGGCTCAACTTCATGTTCGTTGCATCTATGACACTGTCTAACCATCTCATCCTTTGCCATCCCCGTCTTCTTTGACCTTCAATCTTTCCCAGCATCAGGGTCTTCTCCAGTGAGTGCTCCCTTCTCATTGGGTGGCCAAAGTATTTGAGCTTCAGTTTCATTATCTGGCCTTCCAGGGAACAGAGGGTTGATTTCTTTTAGGATTGACTGATTTGATCTTCTTGCAGTCCAAGGGACTCTCAAGAGCCTTCTCCAGCACCATAGTTCAAAAGAATCTATTCTTCGGCGCTCGGCCTTCCTTATAGTCCAACTCTCGCAGCCATACATGACTACTGGGAATACCATTGCTTTGACCATGCAGACTTTTGTTGCCAGGGTGATGTCTCTACTTTTTATCATGCTGTTTAAGTTTCCTCCCAAGGAGCAGGCGTCTTTTAATTTCATGGCTGCTGTCACCGTCTGTGGTGATCTGGGATCCCAGGAACGTGAAGTCTGTCACTACTTCCACAACTTCCTCTTCTATTTGCCAAGGAGTAATGGGGCCTGATGCCATGATCTTAGTTTTTTTGATGTTGAGCTTCAAGCCCACTTTTGCGTTCTCCTCTTTTACTCTGAGCAGGAGGCTCTTTAGGTCCTCTTCACTTTCTGCCATTAGAGTGGTATCGTCTGCATATCTGAGGTTGTTGATCTTTTCCCCAGCAATCTTAATTCCCGCTTGTGATTCATCCAGGCCAGCAGGTTACGTCCTTATAAACACGGACACACCATTTAGTCATTGTTTATAATAGCTATTGATGGACTTGTCTGTCAAGAATCTGTCAGGTAGCCTTTTAAAACCAGCTAAACTACTGGCCATCTTTTCATTCTGTGATAGGGAATTCCACAAATTAATCACTCTTTGATTCACTTAATGACTCTGCTGCCCATGAGTTTCAGTATGTGGGGGAGTGAAAGAAAAGGTTCTGTCTGGTCCCGATCACATGCAGAATTAGCCATGAATGCCAGGCGGATTTGAAGGGCGGGATCACACAGGAACATCTGGCAAGCGTCCTACACCCGTCAGCAACCTGTCTCGCTCCGCCGAAGAAGTGGAGTTAAAAAATACCAGGGAAAGTCCAGTATCAAACGGGTTGCTACGGGCCATAGACGGACTTTCCCCTGTGTGATCGCTCCAGCGCGCTCTCATGGCGTTGGAATGGTCTGATCAGGCCATCCTGTCCCGACTCTGTTCCTAGGAAGCCCTCAATGTGGAGATGCAATTCATTGATCCTCCGGTTTAAGTGAATTGAAAACAAACAGCAACACCCACACACATCCCCGAACTCACCTGCGATTGCGTATGATTGCGCAGTGGCAGGCTATGCCCGCAGCTTCAAAGAACCGTGTGATCATGCAACTGCGGGTCAATTTCCTCCGGGGTAAATAGCCTCGCTTCCCCCACACATTATCTCGCACGTGTGACCGGAACCCCTGTTCCCTTTCTCTACCCCATGCATCACTCAAGAGCAGTTCTCTCAGAGCTCTCTCAGCCCCACCTACCGCACAGGGTGTCTGTTGTGGGGAGAGGAAGGGAAGGCGATGGTAAATCGCTCTGAGACTCCAAGTAAAGGGGTGGGGTATGAATCCTCCTTTTCCTTTACTAAAAAGCTGTTTCTTGTGGAGATGGATGGAGGAATCGTATTCTTTGGTGTGTGTCTCAGCGTAAAAGTTGTCAGGATCCACATGTCAAATCAAGGTTTTATGATGTGGTGGTAGAATTGTCAACTTCCTGGGCTCTTTTTGTAGAAAAAGTCCAGCAGGAACGCATTAGCATAACAGACCACACCCAACAGCAGAAACTCATTAGCATATTAGGCCACACCCCCATGTTACCAGAAGTGTGGTCATCCAGCCACACCCACCTTTTGCTTCTTATTCTGTTTACCCTGTTTGTTGTCAAAACCCAGGGCTTTTTTTGTAGCAGGAACGCCTTTGCATGTTAGGCCACACACCCCTAACGTAGCCAATCCTGATGAGTTTCTGCTGTTGGGTGTGGCCTATTATGCTAATGAGTTCCTGCTGGGCGTGGCCAACTCAGGAGCCAGCCGGAACTCCGTTCCTGTGCGTTCCTGCCCAAAAATAGCCCTGATGATACCCAACAAAGGTCCTTCCCCTCCCTAAACCCTACTCTCCCAGGCTCCACTCTCAGACCCCCAGGAATTTCTGAAACCAGAGTTGGCAACCCTGTGCGGTGATGCCACAAGACACCGGTGGATCTGGGCTTTGAGCTATGATTGGTTGTGGGCTTTGAGGCACAGAACCTATACAAATTCTGAGAGTTCAGGGCTGGGGGTGGTGGTGGGGCTATGCATGCCTAGCTCAAAAGGGCTTAGAATGACAGCTAAGAGCTGCACTGGCATATCCCCAAGTTACGCCAAGGAGATATGCCAACTGGAGGCCTACCTGGGGCAGGTTGGTGTAGTGGTTAAGAGGAAAGACTCTAATCTGGGAGAACTGGGTTTGATTCTCCACCCCTCCACATGCAGCTGCTGGTGTGCCCTTGGGTCAGTCATAAGTTCTTTCAGAGCTGTTCTCTTTAGGGCAGTTCTCCGGAGAGCTCTCGCAGCCCCACCTGCCTCACAGGGTGTCTGTTGTGGGGAGAGGAAGGGATTGTAAATCGCTCTGAGACTCCTTCGGGTAGTGAAGGGCGGCATATAAATCCAATCTTCTCTCTCCTCTCTTAGGACAGGGTGGCCTGTAACAGAGGTATGGTTTCTATTTAGTCTCTGTGGACAAGACTGTAACTAGGGTTGCCAGCTCCAGGTTGGGAAATACCTGGAGATTTTGGGGAAGGAACTTGGAGAAGGCAGAGTTTGGGGAGGGACCTTAGTGGAGTGTAATGCCATCTAGTCCACCCTCCAGAACAGCTAGATGTGACCTTTGATTTGGTGGTGTACTTTACTGGCATAAATAATGTGAGTGGTCAGAAACAAGAAAGAGAGTCTTGTCCCCGTTTACAAACTGTCCCATTGATGCAGCCCGATCCTGTGTATGTATATTCGGAAGTAAATCCTACTGAATTACTCCTGGGTAAATGAGCTGCGGTGGCTTAAGTGGTTAAGACGCTGAACTGCAGACTGTGGAAGGTCGGTAGTTCAGCAGTTCGAGCCCCGAGTGTGCCGCATGACATAAATAGGTACCACTTCAGTGGGAAGGTAACAGTGTTCCCTGTGCCTTGGTGTTTAGTCATGCTGGCCACATGTCACGGAAATGTCTTCGGTAGAGTTGCCAGGTGTGGGTCGGAAGATACCTGGAGACTTTGGGGGTGAATCTGGGAGAAGGTGGGGTTTGGAGAGGGGAGGGGCCTCAGCATGGTACAGTGACATGGAGTCCACCCTTCAAAGCAGCCATTTTCTCCAGGGGAGCTGATCTCTGCCGGCTGGAGATCAGTTATAAAAGCGGGAGATCCCCAGGCCCCACCTGGAGGCTGGCAACCATAGTCTTCGGACAGTGCTGGCTCTTCGGCTTTGAAACGGAGATGAGCACCGCAACCCTAGAGTCGGATTCGACTGGCTTTCGAGCAAGGGAACCTTTACCTTTTTGAATGAACAAAGTTTGAGTCCAGTTTTTTTTTTTTATTAACAAAGTTTGAGTCCAGTGACACCTTTAAGACCAGCAGTTTTATTAAAGATAACAACAAATTTAGAGTCCAATGGCACCTTTAAGACCAACAAAGGTTTATTCAAGGTATGAGCTTTCCTGTGTACGCACACTTCCTCAGATACACTGAACTACCCTGGGCAAACGTTCATCAGACTGCACCCTGGAAGCATAAGTCTGCAGGGGTTACATCCCACTGCAGCCGATGCCTGAAATGCATCCTGAGTCAGCAGATATGTATAGAAAAGGTTTTGAACTGCGAGGTGGAAAAAGGCCATCAAACGAGGTGCCCTTTTGCACAGTTTCGGGGCCTTTTAACCGCACGGGCTGCCCCGCTGGAACTTTCCCGGCGTGTGGAAGCTCCGGAAAGTAAAAGTTCCACCTTAAAAAAAACCCAGGTCCGCAGCCCTGGCGTGGGGGAGGGGGAAGTTGGCTGGAAAATACAAGCTGTGGGCGGGACTGGAATCTATTAATTTTTTAATGCCTAAACCACGCCTCCTCCGCTCACCAAGCCTCCCCCCCCTTTCTGGCAGCCAATGAAAAATAAGCGGAGCGAATGGAGGAGAAAGGGCCCCTTGAGGTGGCTGAGTGAAGTTGGTCGGAAACTTTGCTCTTTGGAAGAGGAAAAAGGGGGCGGGGGGGTAGAGTGGGGTTTGCAGCGTGAGAAACTGCAGAAGTGAGAAGCCAGCGTGTAGGAGCCCGGGTAAGCCGTTCAGGGACTCGATCTTCGTGATTACTGGGGAGTCCTCCTCGGGAGGAAAAGTTGGGGGTCAGTAGGAAAAAGCGGGGACTAGGGCATTTCATATTTTGGGGGCGGGGGTGGATTTTGGGGTGGGGGCGTATTGGTGTGATGGGGTGAGAGATTGTATCTCTGGGATGCTGCAGGCACTTTCGGGGGGGAGAGCTAGTAGAAGAGAGGGGCTTGGTTGTCCTGAAGTGGTTAGGTATGTGGGGGTTAGAAGGGATAGTTTGAGGTAGGGGGGAATGGGAGCTGGGCCGGTTGTGTGAAGTGATGGGGACTGATGTATGTATCTCTGGTTCATAATCTGGGAAGGAAGGACTGAGAACGAGGGTCCTTGTGTTCCTGAAGTGGTTAGGTATGTGGGGGTTAGAAGGGGTCGTTTGAGGTAGGGGGGAATGGGAGCTAGGCTGGTTGTGTGAAGTGAGGGGGACTGATGTATGTATCTCTGGTTCACAATCTGGGAAGGAAGGACTGAGAACGAGGGTCCTTGTGTTTTGCTAATGACATGGGGTAAAAACGTGTTTCATGGCGATAAATATAACTTGGTCCATATGCGCTAATTAAAAGTGCCCCCAAGGAAGAATTAATGTGTCAGTGAATCCTGGTGTGTGGTGTAAGTGCAAGGGGCTGTGTTGTGTGTGTTTTTGTCTGTTTGTGAGAGAGAGTGCGCATGCTTGTGCATAGGGTCTGAGAATCGCTTGTACAACTTGAGAAAAATCTTGTGAAGGGATGAGCGTGTGTGTCATGCAGGGGTTACATAAGTTTCCATGGATTACACATTCTTCTGTATGCATTGTGGTGAGCATGCCTCGAGACGTCTTTCCTGAATTAGGGTACATGTGAGGAGGCACGGAAGAGGCATGTGAACAAATGATATGGCTAAATTTTACACTGGGCAGAGCATGCTGAAATGTACATCAAGGAACTGTGCCTGGCAAAGAGTTTGTGTGTTTATGTTCTTCATTTATACTGCACCTTTCACCCCAATGGGGACCCAAAGCGCCTTACATTGTTCTCCTCCATTTTATCCTCACAGCAACCCAGCGAGGTAGGTTAGTCTGAGAACACGTGACCGGCCTGGGGTCACCTAGCAAGTCGCCATGGCTGAGTGGGGATTCGAACCTGGGTCTCCCAGATCCTAGAGCACACAGAAGTGAGAGTATGTGCTTCTTCATAGGGAAGTGTACTTGCAATGGAACAAGCACTGTACTAGCAAGTGTGCTCAGAAATGGAGGCACTGTGTGATGCGGGCTATTGGGTATATATGTGGTTGTTGGTAGCTTAGCCACTAGTATAGTGCTAGAGGATCTGGTCCGTAGGTCCCTTGCTGAAGGTAGCCATGTCGTTTGTGAAATCCGATGTGAGTCATCCTCACAAAGACCCCAGGAAGTTGCGTGGATCTTTCTGAGAATCTGTGACGTGTGGCAGCTTCGAAACCCACCACTTCCTCTTCTATCTGTCGCTTGTTGACATCAGCGGTTTTGCTAACACCGTTCAGCTCTGAAACAGCTTTTGACCTGGAACATGTGAAGTATGGGGAGATGGCCCCTGGGCATGGGCAAAGTATGTGTTCTTGAGCACAGAGTAACGGTTGACATGTGAGATTAAGTTGTAGGGGGCTTCGGCATCTCAGGAGAGTCTCCTTTTTAGCCCCTGCATGTCTTAATTTGGAAACTTAAGTCCTGCTGTTTGTCCCAGAAAGGCCATTGTGCCGTCTTGAGTCCCCTGACCACCAGCTTTATGGATGCTACCTCAGAGTGGTTCATCATATTGTACATTGTTTCTTTGAGGTGTGGAATGGAGTCCCCAAGCCTTGGCATCTGAACTCCGAGGCTCAGAGGCAACAGGCCCGCTTCAGAGTCTACACTTTGAGACAAATAGAAATGTTGTGTTTTGGATAGGAGGTCTGGGCTGGAATAGAGTTGCCAGTTGGCTGGGAAGAAATAAAGAGTCTGCCCTGTGGGGTTTTTTTTTGGGGGGGGGGACTTTTAAGAGCCACTTGAATGTGCCAAAATCAGCCTGTGAAACTTTTTGGAGAGCACAAACTAATCATCCCGCGCAGTCTGTATAATATTTCAAGGTGCTGGTGGCGGCTCTAGAGCGGGCTGGGCCGGTTGAAAAGTTGGCAGCCCTGCTAGGCAGGGTGTGGGGCTTGACAGGGCTGGAAGGCTGGGTGGAGGCACGCTATCAGTTGAAAGCAGGTGTCAAAGAGATAACCGAAAATCCTGGATCAGAGAGCCCTCGGTGGGCCCCGCTGCTGCTTCTCCTCACCCCCCACAACCAGCAAGGCCTTGAGTGAAGCTGGCACCCCCCAAGATGAGGGCTTGTGTTTCCCCAGCAACCCATCTGAGCACGACTGTGACCTCGACCACCGGGTTTCAGGGTGAAGGAAGAGGCTTTGGCCTCATCTATCTGGAAGGCTTTTTAAAAAAACAAACAAACCTTGTTCCTCGCAGGATGGCTGTGGAATGAGGCGGGAACAGGCCCCACCTAAAACAGACAGAACTCCTATTTCGTGTTTGTGTGCATGTCTCTCACTCTCTTTGACAGCTCTTTTTTTCCTGCCCCTCCCCACAGGAAGGCACCATGTCCCACAAAGGATGCCTCAGCGTCACCAAGTACTTCCTTTTCATCTTCAATGTCTTCTTCTTTGTGAGTATTTGGTTAGGGAGAGCAGGCCTGAGGCCTGGTCAGGTGGGCCTACGGGGGCCATTCCCAGGCACACTTTGATGGGTCAGGGGGGAGGACTGCGGTAGATCTTTAGCCAGTTAACCGCCTAGAGTTTTCACCCCTTTTCTGTTCTCTCCTCCTAACTCCAGATTCTTGGAAGCCTCCTCTTCAGCTTTGGTTTATGGATACTTTTTGACCAGAATAGTTTTGCATCCACCCTAGGTGAGTTCCCAAGGACTGTGACTCTTAACCTGCCCCTTTCCAGGCCCAGTGGGAACCAACCAACCAACCCAGGCGTCTCTGCTCCAGCCAACATCCATTGCTCCCACCCGTCCACTGACAGCTCCTCTTCCTTTTCTTTTTTGGGCTCCACATGGGAGAGGGAGAGAGGACGTTTGTTAGGTTTCCTGCATTGGATTCCACTGGACATGATCTGATAATCCAGAATTATTCCCCAGTCTCCCTCTGCAAGGGGGAAGGACAGGGAAGTATTCCTTCAAGTGAAACTTGAGTATATTACAAAGCCAGCTTGGATTGATGCGTCTGTTCCTCTTTTCTCCAGGGTCCTCAGTTTTTGCGTTGAAGATCTGGTCCTATATTTTCTCTGGGGTGGGCATCCTCACAATGCTGATGGGATTCCTCGGGTGCCTGGGCTCCCTCAAAGAAGTCAAGTGTATGCTGGGATTTGTAAGTAATGTAGGGAGCTGGTACTCGAAAGTTCCCTAGGAACAGTCAATGAGGTCTAGGCTCAGAGCAGAGCATTCTGGGAGTTCGGGGTTTCCTACAAGCAGGGCTCTGAACACAGAGATTCCATTAAGCCATCAAGGAATTAAGAATGGGGTAGACTTCATGGCAATGCCACAGTCACAGTGCAACCCTCTCAAGACCAGTGTTCCCTCTAAGCTGAGTTAGTGTGAGCTAGCTCACAGTTTTTTAGCCTCCGGCTCACACATTTTTGCCTTAGCTCAGGAAGGAGGGCTCCAGAGGAGACTAATTTATACAGTAGCCAAATTGCTCGCTCACAACTTGAATGCCAGGAGCTCACAGAGGAGAATTTTTGCTCACAAGACTCCGCAGCTTAGAGGGAACATTGCTCAAGACTCATGGGACTATTTTTATTCTTCCTCCGGCACATTTTATAACATTGCACCATTGTTGATTACAAAGCTGAGTTCACTTTTTTTGACGGGGCACTTCTACTATGGGTAGAAAAATGAACGGCTTAAACATTGCTTCCTTAGTGAGTGGGGACTCTAGTCAATGTAATCAGAAACACATTGCCCAACAATTGCAAGAGGAAACGAACTTATATGTATTTAGGTACTTCACTTATACCCCACTGGTATACCCCAATGTAAGCCACCTTGAGTTCCCATCGGGAAGACAGAGAAATGCCTCATATTTGCCTTGCTGTACTGAATATTGTTATGAAGCCAATCCACATGAGCAGAAGATCATGTGGCACAGAGTTCCTAGGCACTGTCTTTTCAGCCTGAAGGTGGCAAACTGCATGTGTGAATACTGTCCTGGTGTGGGGGATAATCCCTGTATGTAGAAAGTTAGCATATCAAGCAGTGTAGGTTAGATCGCCTTCCCAGATACATGACTTTTTGTAAGGGGAGAACATTTGCAAGGTAGGAAACGCAAATGTGAGTTTCTGTCCAGCCACCCCCCCATTCCTGCCTAGGTACAGTCCCAGGAATCTTCCATGATTTATTTCCTTGTATAGATTGGCACATTTAGGATTTTGTTGTAGTAGTATCTGTTTAACGTGTATATTTTGAAACAGACATCACAGCATCTTAAATATGACATTTAGCTTTTTCAAGCTTTTCTCTCGTGGCTCCTTTTTTTGAAAAGGCGGTAGTAAAAATTAAAAGAAAAAGAAAATAGGCACATCCCCCTCTTCCCTCACAAAGTGCCTGAGGTTCACTGGCCTGTCTTTCTCTTGTCAACAGTACTTTGCCTTCCTGCTGCTTCTCTTTGTTGCTCAAATCGCCATTGGAATTTTGGTGTATACACAGCGCGACACGGTGAGTCATGCCATGAGGGAACTTGCGAGTACAGGCGCTTACATCCCATGGGAAGGACACCTTTCTCTATTTATTTAGTATGTTTTTAGCCTGCTCTTCCCCAGGAGGAACTCAGGGGCAGCAGTATACATTGTTCTCCCCTCCTCGCAACAGCTCTGTGAGGCCGGGTGAGGCGGATAGAAAATGGCTGGGCCAGATCACCCAGTAAACTTCACGGCAGAGTAGGAATTTGAACCCAGATCCTAGTCTGACAGTCTTAGTTTTCAACACAGAATGGAAGCCAATCTGCGCACACAGAGAAATTATGGGGTTCTTTCCTTACATTTTTCCTTACATTTTTGTATGTCCGGTCTCAGTTTGCTTCCCTTTACAGCTTAGGGAAATTGAGTGAGGAGAGAATTACCAAGGTACACAGAGGTTGTTCATGCACCCTGTCCCTGTTCTTGGGTTTCGTTGATGGGGAAGAGGGTGGAGCACAAGGGGAAGGAAACTGCCAACTGGTTTGGGAAATTCCTAGACATGTGGGGGTGGTGCGTGGGGAGGAACTGACGTTTCTCCTAGGCTCTATGGTATACCATAGAATCCACGCTGCAAAGAAGCCATTTTATCCAGGGGAACTGATTTCTGGGCATCAGGTGTAATTTTGAGAGAATTCCGGGCCCCACCTGGGAATCCAAAAGGAAAGTGGCTGGGGTTTCAAGGGGATTGTTGTACTCTTGGTTTTAGTAGTTGTATTCTTCCATGTGGGGAACGGAGGTGGCTGGTAAAGGAACAGCTGGTATCCCTAGGCCCTGTGGACCTATTTGGCCAAGTCAGCTTGGGAACTGGGATATTGCTACAGAGATCATAAGAGCATTGTGAGTCTTGTCTTGGAGGTGGGGCAAGGTGCTACTGTGAGGTACCTTCCTTTATCCTGTTTTTTCTGCTACCACACAGATCCATGTGAGAGTCAGAGTCTATGTTGGTGAGATAATTCAAAATTACAAGTTGAACGGGTCACTCACAGATAAGGAGGAGAGCTGGGATGTTGTACAGGAGCAGGTAAGATACTTCAGGAGCAGGGCTATTTTTGGGCAGGAACGCACAAGAATGGAGTTCTGGCTGGCTCCTGAGTTGGCCACGCCCAGCAGGAACTCATTAGCATAAGCCACACCCAACAGCAGACACTCATTAGGATTGGCTACATTAGGGGTGTGTGGCCTAACATGCAAAGAAGTTCCTGCTACAAAAAAAGCCCTGGGTTTTGACAACAAAGTAAACAGAATAAGAAGCAAAAGGTGGGTGTGGTTGGATGACCACACTTCTGGTAACATGTGGGGTGTGGCCTAATAGGCTAATGAGCTGTGCTGTCAGGGGTGTGGCCTAATATGCATATTTTTTCTGCTGTTGTGTGTGGCCTAATATGCTAATGAGTTCCTGCTGGGCTTTTTCTACAAAAAAAGCCCTGTCCAGGAGCAATGTGCACCTCAAGTTTCTCTGCCCCCTCGGGGAAGGGGCTCTTGGGTTAATGTTCGACCTCTCCATATACAGCATTGCAAGGCAGAGGTAATGGGAAACAGCTGAGAGGTTGGAGAGCTGATAGCTGCTAGAGTCGACCGTGCTGATCAGCTACATCAGGGTCCCCAACCTTTCCGAGCCTGTGAGCACTTTTGGAATCCTGACACAGCATTGTGGGCCCAGTCGCAAAATGGCTGCCGCAAAAGGTGGAGCTATCCACAAAATGGCTGCTGACACTTCAGTCACCAGTGAAGATCCTTGTTGTGCAGTGGCAACTGCTGACAAAGCAGTGTTTTTAAAAATCTGCACAGCCAAGGAGGAGAGCTGGGACGTTGTACAGGAGCAGGTAAGATACTCCAGGAGCAATGTGCACCTCAGGTTTCTCTGCCCCCTTGGGGAAGGGGCTCTTGGGTTAATGTTCGACCTCTCCATATACAGCATTGCAAGGCAGAGGTAATGGGAAAGAGCTGAGAGGTTGGAGAGCTGCTAGCTGCTAGAGTAGACCGTGCTGATCAGCTACATCAAGGTCCCCAACCTTTCCGAGCCTGTGAGCACTTTTGGAATCCTGACACAGCATTGTGGGCCCAGTCGCAAAATGGCTGCCGCAAAAGGTGGAGCTATCCACAAAATGGCTGCTGACACTTCAGTCACCAGTGAAGATCCTTGTTGTGCAGTGGCAACTGCTGACAAAGCCGTGTTTTTAAAAATCTGCACAGCCAATCAGCTCCAGTGGCCAATCAGAAGCCTTGCTGGGTAAAAGCCCTGCCCATTTTCTAAAAACACTTGGCAGGTGCCAGGAAAGGTGTTGATGCTGGAGACCCCCCCCCAACCTAGATGGACAAATGGTCTGTTTCAGTAGAAGGTGTCTTTGTCTGTTCTTATTTATGTTTGCCCTCTGGTTATTACCTGCTAGCAGCGACCTTGTTCGTGGCTCGCATTTCAGACCTTCCCCGACTTCTGCTCCTCATGATCCCTGCTCCGCATTTCCCCCCCCCAGTTCCAGTGCTGTGGATGGAATTCCTATGTAGACTGGCGAGAAAACCATGTGGTGGCCAGCAATGGCTCCTCCATCTATCCTTGCTCCTGCCGAAACCGGTCTCAGGCTGGCCAGCCGCTGACCAACAACACAGGGACCCCCAAGCCTCCAGAGCGCCCTGAAGGTTTCTGTGTTGCCCAGGGAGAGTGGCCCGTCTACAAGGAGGTAAGTAGCATGGGCGTGGCTCTAGGAGAAATTTGTAACCCCCTCGTTCTCCCTCACTCAGTCCCTTTTTTTAACACACTCTTGTCCTTATTGTAGGGCTGCATGGCCAACGTCCAGAACTGGCTTGCCAATAATATAATCACCATTGTGGGACTCTGTCTTGGAATTGCTCTCATGGAGGTAAGAGATGTGGATTTGCTCTGGGAAGCTGGCATGGCTCTAGGCTCTCCCACAGTGCTGCAGTTGCGTAAGCGGAGGAGGCAGTCTTGTCGCTCTGTCCGTGAATATCTGTTAGAACCATTCACCTGGCAGCTCCCCTCCCCTCCAGTAGGGGTGCTAGCTTCTAAAGAAAGCCAGGCAGGCAGTCCTACTAACCCTTATAGAATTGGAAGGGCCAGTTCCAGGTTTGGGTAGGCCCTGGGCAAAGAGTGCCCAGCCTAGGGTTGCTAGGCTCATTGGAAACACTAGTGGGGAGATGGGGAAGACGTTCTGGGAGCGGGAAGTGATGTTGCACAGTGTGCCTACGTCACCTGGAAGTGATGGAGGCACATCGGGGGTGATGCTGTGGTTTTTGGGCAAAACTCTATGGTAAAATCAGCCTCAAACCATTGAGTATTGCCCAAAAACCAGAGTGTCCCCCCACGATGGCACTGATATGCCTACATCACTTCTGGGTGACGTAAGCACGTCATTTTTATTTTCCCACAGTGTCACTGTTTGGGGTGTGTGTGTTTTTCTTCCGCTGACCAGCTGGTCGGCAACAGGCAGAAGCCCACAAAACCCGGGGGATCCCCCGCCCCCAACTGGGGAACGGCAACCCTACCTCAGCCCCTCTCCCTACCACCAGTCCTCTCACTCATGACTCCCTTCCTTCCTGCCCACCTGCATGACCCCCACCTACTCACAAGCCCTCTCACTACCCACAGTCGTAGCTACTCAGAATCATCACATGGATGCCCTTTCCCTATTGGTACTGGGCAGTGAGCGCAGCTGGGAATACCACTGTTGTGGACACCAGGAGTGCTTCCACTATGCAGCGCCAGCACAGCTTTCTCCGGTGGCTTGTTGAGCAGCATGTGCAGCCAGGAGTACGGGTGATGGAGCACTCGAAAGTTACTGAGTGTGCAGAGTGGCAGTGGGTCCCACCGAAAGCCCTGGACCCCAGCAGTTGCCCCACCTCAGGGTATGCTGAGGCCAGCCCTGAGCGTTGGCCCTGTAAAGGCAGGAAAAGAGCAGAGGGGACCCCACAGCCTCAGCGTCTAGTAAAACTGGAAAGCTGCCATTGGCTGCAGTTCTGGAAAGGTAAGGAGTGGTGTCCCTCAGGCCCTTTGTGGTAAAACCCCTACGTACTGAGAGCCAGTTTGGTGTAGTGGTTAAGTGCACGGACTCTAATCTGGGAGAACCGGGTTTGATTCCCCACTCCTCCACTTTCACCTGCTGATGTGACCTTGGGTCAGTCACAAGCTCTGGCACAGCTGTCCTTGACAAAGAGCCGTTTGTGTCAGAGCTCTCTCAGCCCCACCCACCTCACAGGGTGTCTGTTGTGGGGAGGGGGAGGGAAAGGAGTTTGTAAGCCGCTCTGAGACTCCAAGTGAAGGGCGGGGCATAAATCCAATCTCTTCTTCTTCTACTACTACTTTGCATTGAAAATTTAAAAACGGGAAACCGGTGAGGTTTTAGACCAGAGCTGCTAATAAAGTTGGTGACAGTGTGTAGCTTTAGAGTTTTTCCATCATTGGTTTCTTCAAAAAAGGCACTAGAAGGGAGAGGAGGGGTTCTTTGTGGCTGCACTCCCTACAGCAGCCATCAGATGGTGTTTCAAGCAGAATGGGAAATGGGTCGATGCTGCCCCTTGAGGAGTGTGCCACTAGAGAGGGTCACTGAGGAGAAACCGTTAAGAGGTGGTTACAGAACAATCCCAGTCTTGGCCTCTAGACCCTGCCGGCTGACTCTAGAGCAGGGGTCCCCAGCCGTTTTGAGGCTGTGAGGACCTTTGGGATTCTGACACAGGGTGGTGAGCGCAAACACAAAATGGCTGCCACAGGAGGTGGAGCCAACCGCAAGATGTCAGGGAGGGAGGTTACGCAGAACTCTAATAAATAACTCTTCAAGATTCCAGGTGGAAGTTCTGTTTAACAGGATGCCTTTTAAAATGAATATAGTGTTTACAAATATTTCCTTGCATGGACACAGCTTATGTTCAGTCACACAGTGAAGAGCCTGGTGTTGTGGAGGCAGCCACTGCCGAATCTGCACAGCCAATCACAAGCCATGTTGGGGGCCTCTGCTCTAGAATGTGTGTGTGCAGGGGTGGGCAGGGTGTTTCTCCTTCCTGCTTTAAACCTTTCTTATAGTTCCTGCAGCTCTGGTGCAGGATGCTGATCAGCGTGCTGGAGCACAGGGACTTGCATAGTGGTGGCTCCCAGGAGATACTCTACTTCCCCAGCAGGTGGCACATGGGAGTGTGACTATATTATATATATATATGCATGGATATGTTTAGCTTTCTAGCATGCTTTATACCTGTGGTATATGGTGGGTACCCCCCCATGCATTTTGTATGGATGGTGCATATATGGCCATTGTATGGGCCATACATGTATGGGAAAGCCACTAACTTTGCCAGGTGTATGGGGGCCAGGAAACTGGCAACAATCTTCAGGCCCTTTTGCAGTGTTTGAGTTTGTGTACTTGCAAAGTGGATGACTAGCAAAGTCTCTGTTTCCTGGTATTGGCTTTGTGTGTGTACTTGGGCCATGCATGGAGATTTCGTCCCTAGATGGGGGGTGGCCCTGAGGTGGCTTTTTTCCCTAACTAGCAGTTGTTTTAGAGAACTGCACTTAAACTCCGTGCTTACACTGATCATCTGGGAAAGCAAACTGTAGCTGTTAGTAGTGCTGCAAAGCCAGGAACTGATGCACAGACCCTCTCATGCACGGCTGATAATCCAAGATGGATCTCAGCAGGGAAGCGAACAGTGTCCTCAGCCACAGATTGAGAGATGGGGGGGGAGAGACCAAGCAAGTCCGAACTCTTGCATTAGAAACAGCAGCCTTCTGGGTAAGACTCTTGGTCCCCCTAGCCTAGTACTGGCTGCTATACCAGTTTGGTGTAGTGGTTAAGAGCACAGACTCTAATCTGGGAGAGCCAGGTTTGATTCTTCACTCCTCCTGTGACCCTGGGTCAGTTACAAGTTCTTTCAGAGCTGTTCTCTCAAGAGCAGTCCTCGAAAGAGCTCTCTCGGCCCCACCTACCTTACAGCGTGCCTGTTGTGGGGAGGGGAAGGAGATTGTAAGCCACTCTGAGACTCTTGAGTGAAGGGCAGGGTATAAATCCAACCTCTTCTTCTTTATTCTAACTAGCAGGGGCTCTCTGTGGTCTCAAACAGAGACTTTTCTCAACCCTTGAGATCCTCTCACTGGAGGTGCCAGCTCATGAACTCGGGGCTTTCAGCATGTGTTCTGCCCCTGTTCCCATGCCTCCCTGGAAAATGTTCCGACTCCTGTCATCTAGGTGTCGCCTGAGCGGGGAGATGGGACTTCCTTCCCCACCATCCTTCCTGCTCTCCCCACCGTTGCCTCCTGCTAGAAACAGCTGCTGCGTCTCTGGTCTGTTGGGGCCCTTTTATCTCGTGAACTGAACATGCCCGAAAAAGGTTTAGTGTGAATCATCCCACAGGGACATCCAGCTTCCCTGGACTTGCTAGGCCAAAGCCAGCTGTTGAGCAGATACAGGCTTTGTGCATTGTCTGCTCAGCTTGGCGGCTGGATTCCCCCTGCCCTGCCCCGCCCCAATACAAACTTTCAGACATGTCTCCGAGTGTGTGTGGCTGTTCGTTTTTTGCGCTGGTTGGTGTTGTCGGCTCTACAAAGCGACACGCTCCAGAGCCAGTGCATGCGCGCCTGTCTCAAGCTCCTTCCTGGCCTTTCTGCGTAGTAACTCTCCCCCTCCCGGTCTGTTTTAACCCATTGCTTCCTGTGGCACAGGGACATTTACCTGGAGTACTGGCAAGGTAACTATTCCAGGCAGTTACAGGAGTTGGGGTTTTGGGTGGGGTGGGGGTCGAGAGTTTCTCGCCGGGTCTATTGGGGATTTAGCGGCTGTGTACCTATCTGAATCGGCACCTCCCCCCGCAACTACTCCCCTTTCCTCCCTGCAGATGAATGGCATGTACCTAGCATCTGTTGCGCTTGGCGAAGAGAGCTCTGATGCCCTCGAAGGGTTAAGAGAGGAAGTTAGGAGAGGACTCAGGATCTGACCTGGCCCTGGACTGGGCAGCAGTGCAGTTGCAGTGATCTGATCAGCCGGCTGGGAGAAGTAGTGAGAGAGAGAGAGAGAGAGACAGAGAGAGAGAGAGACAACGAACAGCAGAGAGCAATAAAGGGCATTTTTAAAAGCCTGCAAGGCAACAGGGAGTTCACAGTGCGGTTATTTCATTGGAGGGATAAACACGGCAGGGAGGGCTCTTAATTCAAGAAGTACTATTAATAACTACCTTCCCTGAAGTGTGTACTGCATTATTCAGTCCCTTTATCTCCTATTCTTCCCTTTCCATCCTTATCTGCTGAAGGACTTAAGCAAACAGTCAGGGACACCACCTCTTCTGGATTCCAGAGCTCACATCTGGAGCAAGTAAAACGGAGGCTAAGCCCTCTGCATGTACCTAGAGTGCATTTGCCTTGCCCCTGCTGTGTAATTACTGCCTGCCCATTCGCATCTGGGAAGGGTTTACAGGTCAGAGGTCAGGGATGCAAGTTAACTCTGAGCTTTTGGGGCCTTGTCGTAAGTCATGCTGTGGCTTTGCTTTTAAACAAACAGGACCCTCCTCCCGATCCTGAAATTAAATTCTGGGTTTCTTCCTGTATGCCACATCCATTTATAAATTGGGGCAGCGGACAGAGATGTTCCATACAGCTAATTGGTGGCAGAAAGGACCATCAGGTAGCAGCCGGCATGTGGCGACCCCTGCAGGGGTTTTCAAGGCAAGAGAGGAAGAGAGGTTGGCCTGCCTCTGCATAGCAACCCTGGTTTTCCTGGGTGGTCTCCCATCCAAGTACTCACCAGGGCTGACCCTGCTTAGTTTTTGAGAGCTGGGGAGATTAGGTTAGCCTAGGCCGTCCTGGTCAGGGTATGCAGGTAACTAATTTCCACTGTTGTCTCCAAGCTCTAAGATGATCTTTTGCCCCCCTCCCCAGAGCAGCAGAAAACAAGAATGCACCACAGATCCTTTGATACCGTTCCTGGCCTTCAAGCCACGCCTTCGCTTGAGCCAGCCCTCGGAATGCCTTCTCATGACCCTCCCCCGTCATCAGTGACCTGGTATCTTTCTTAGCCGCTCAGGGTGGCTGCTGGCAGCCCTGGCCTATCTGCCCTCTTCCCTTATGACCCTGTGCACAGGGTGGAACAGGAAGAGCAGTGGCAGCCAGGACTGGGCATGCACAAGGCAGCCCCTGCGGGGGCACTGACTGACACACCCTCCTGAATCACTGCGGTTCAGGCAAATCCTGGGTTCGGTAGATCCTGCTGCTTCCACGGCTGAAGTACAGACAGGCCTGTGCAAAGAATATTGTGGGCCGCAAAGCAGCACGGGGTAAACTTGCAGGCATGGTGTGCTTGTACCAGCCACCTCCTGACTCTGTGTGCAAGATAGGAGAGGGAAATGGAGCTAGAGCGGGCTCTGGAGAGCTCAGAATAAAGGCAAAGGCTCCCTTGCTCGAAAGCCAGTCGAGTCCGACTCTAGGGTTGCGGTGCTCATCTCCATTTCAAAGCCGAAGAGCCAGCGCTGTCCGAAGACGTTTCTGTGGTCATGTGGCCGGTGTGACTAAACACCAAGGCACACGGAACGCTGTTACCTTCCCACTGAAGTGGTACCTATTTATCTACTTGCAGTTTCTTGCTTTCGAACTGCTAGGTTGGCGCCATCAAGTTGCAACTGACTCACGGCACCCTCAGGACCATGGCGTTTGCAAGGGAAGAGACAAGCAGAGATGGTTTGCCATCACTTGCCTCTATGTAGCCGCCCTGCACTTTCTTGGCGACACTGTTCCCTCTAAGTTGAGTTAGTGTGAGCTAGCTCACAGCTTTTTTAGCCTCCGGCTCACACGTTTTTGTCTTAGCTCAGGAAAGACAGCTCCAGAGCAACCTAATTCATGCAGTAGCCAAATCACTCGCTCACGTTAATCCCAGTAGCTCACAAAGCAGAATTTTTGCTCACAGGACTCCACAGCTTAGAGAGAGTATTGCTTGGCGATCTCCCATCTAAGTACTAACCAGGGTCAATCCTGCTCAGCTCCCAAGTCCTGACAAGCTCGGCCCAGACTGAGCTCTCAGGCAGTCAGCTAGGCAGTGTTTTATCCAGGAGATGCGGGTTCAGAATGAGCCACTTTTATAAATCTAACATACCACACATGTTCTTCCCCCAGCCTCAAACGCCTCATCTGGAAAAAAAAGAGGGTGGTGGTGGTAGGAACGGTTTACTTCATTGGGGCCGCGGTTCGAAAAATGAGAGGTTTGGATCACCCTCCAGACAAGGAATGTGTCCTGTAGCTGCTGAAGGTTTTCCTCTGTATTTGGCCTTGGATTTACACAGCATTTGGTTGTAAAAAAACAGTGAAAGGAGGTGGTGGGAAGAGGGGAATGGACTCCTTCCCCTTCTTCTGGGACTCAAAGAACAAACGCAGCCGTCCACAAAATGTGATAACCTCCCTGATATAACTTGTGGGCTTGACCATTTGGATGAGTGGCGTCCCACCGATGAATCCCCTTTTGGATGACATAGATCAGTGGTGGCGAACCTACAGCACGGGTGCCAGAGGTGGCATTCAGAGCCCTCTCTGTGGGCACGCGTGCCATCGCCCCAGCCAGGCCCAGACCATCATTAAAGTGTCAAATTCTCTGCCAAATAATTTTAAGTAAATGAAGCATTTGGGATTGCGTTCCTTACTTTGTTTGGATCATCTTAAGTTAATGTACGAGTTGTTTTTTCTTAAGTAAAACCTCAGTATTCAGGTTGAATTGCTGTGTTGGGACTTTGCGATAAATAAGTGGGTTTTGGGTCGGAGTTTGGGCACTCAGTCTCTAAAAGGTTCGCCATCACTGACATAGATTATATTGATACTGCTGATATCAGAAATGATTCAAAGATGGAACTGAAGCCCCTCTTAATTCCCACCCCCCCCCCCCCCGAAGCCCCTCTTAATTACCTCCCCCCCCCCCACAGCTCTTCCTGATGACGCTATCGATGTTTCTGTGTAAGACCATCGGGCCCAACTACGACAAGCTCGCCCGCTATTCCTAGGAGACACATCTCAGCTTCCCGGATTCTCCGTCTTTTAAGGGCTGCCTCGGAATTCACTCCTTCCAGTTCACGCATTCCACCACAGGAGTTTAAAGCAGCGCTTGTTGGGCTGCGAGGTACTTTGAACAGGTTTCTCTGCCTAGTTTTATATTCACCCTGGTACAAAGTGTGGGTTTGAGTCTAACCTTGTCTTGGCAAATGAAGCGTAAACCTTCAAGACCTGCAGGCCCCAGCAAGAAACGGAACCTGCCAAAACCTGCCGAGTTCTTCACAGAACAAACATATGACTCCTGATTCACCGGCAAAACCCTTTCCCCCCAAAAATGTACGGACTATCTCCAAAGTCAAATCGGTACCCCCCCGCACTGTGATACTGTTTTGCATTTTAACGTCCGTCAGAGATGGAGCCTGCTTCAGCGTGAAGAAAACTTGTTTTATAGCAAGGTTACCACTGCCAGTCCCCGATGGCTCATCACATTCAAACTGGGAAGCTGCAGAACGGGACGTCTCAAAGCAGTATACACACATCAGTATTTTAAAATGTTTGGGTAAGTCGGAGTGGGGTCGTCTGCTAGCTCTTAGTCTTTTTACCCAATAATCTACCATGATAAACTGGGGGGGGGGGTCCCCCGCTCTTGCCAGCAGGAGCCTGTAACCTTCCTTCTTTTAAGTTTCTTTCGGTATTGAGAGCAATCTGATTTTTAACACATGCCTTTTAAATAGCTGACATTCCAGTGAGAGGTAGTAAAACACAAAGGATGACCCCCCAGCTGGTGAGCCTTGCTTTTAAGTGGGAACGTTGAGGCCAGGGTGCATTCGCTGGACCACTTATTTGGTGCTTGGGCTTCTGTGCAGTGCGCTACAGGCGACAGGAGGTTTACCTGAGGAGTCTTGTGAATGTGTCCCAATCTGGGACCAGCACATGGGGAGAACCTCTCCTTAACGCCATGCCAGTGCATAAGGTCTTGACCTCAGCCTGACTTCACCAGCGCCTAGAGGAAAACGATTCAAATGCCCCAGTTTTAAACTTCACCCTCCTGCTCCCTACAGCCATCTCTAAACATTCCTAGCTGTAAGGCCCTTTTCTGGCCCCAGATTCTCCCTCTATTTTCCTTTTGTAATTGCCGATATGCATATTAAGATTATTGGACTTGTCACAAAGGTTTTCCCATCATGTTTTTGCTCCATCACAGCCCTTTGCCTACGCTTCTACCATGCATGCACACGCTCACAGCTCCTCGTGTGTGCAGAAACACCCCGGGGTACAGTCAGCTCCCACACAAAGGGTTCTTCCTCTAGTTCAGCCGCAGGAGCAGATCCATAACCACATTCTCATAGGAGTGAGACTGTGACCTGGATGATACAGGGGAAAGCCTTTGCTTGCATAGGCTATGTGCGCACTGGTGCTTGCCCAGAGACTTTGATAGGGCCTCGCGCTCCCGTATCACATTCTCGGCAAGGGTTATGGGCCTGCTCTTGTTGAGCTCCAAGCTAGGGTGAGCAACTGTTTGTCAAGCTTTTTTTTTTTTTTGTCTTCTGTCTACCTTAATAGCCACACGGTGACAGGTGCACATACTTGTAAAAGTTAAGATATGTACGAACGGATGCAGGTAATCATGAATGGTTAAGATGGTGGCATTGTGAAAGGACCACACAGGTTTTGAAAGGATAGGGGGTGGAACAGGGTACATATATCATTTCACCCTTCTCTTTAGCTGTTTTCTGTCATTTTAACAGTATTTGGATTTTTTTGTAACGTAGTCTTCATTTGTAAATAAAAAAAATAGATCCACAAATGATCGTTTGTGGTACTGGTTTGTATGTGGAGCCATAGAAGGCTGAACCAACACTGGCCCCAGTCACACGGGCCGGATATTGTGGGGGGGAGGCGTGGCTCTGTTTGCCCTGGAGCGAACTACCGCGCGACAGCCGGATCAAACGTCCCGCCGACGTCCCGTGGTTGGGGGGAGGTGCCGATCGCACCGCCGCGGGGGTTGTGTTTTTTTTTTTTAACCTAAGTGTTCACATGCGCCGTTGGCACCCGGATGCCACGAGCTAACACCGGAAACATGATCTGACGCCCGCCCTTGCCCCGTGGTGTCTGGAAACTAGTACCTCGGAGGTACTAGTTTTTTACAGCACATCTTAGGAGTGAAGCCTCGGGTGAGCCACGGGAGCTCTACGCTTCCCAGATGTGGCGGTGAGATCGCGCCTGGAAAATCTGCCTATCTTCTGTCTCTAGCGTGCCTAATGCTCCGTGTGACCGGGGCCAGAGATAGGCAGAGGGATGACTTCCATTGAAGGACCAAGAGCCACACCCCTTAACTCTGGTTGGTCAGATTTGCCCGCTTGCTTGCTTTCAGCAATAAAAGAGCCTTCTGCTTGAATATACTGCTTGGCCAAATCAGTCCTTGGAAAGGACAAGTTCAAAACTCAGTAAAAGTGCAGAATCTGATGCCAGGGGACAGACCCCCTTTAAGAGGAGAGCAATCCAATTCAGAGAGAATACATCACCTCATGCCCCAAGGCAGTAACTCTCTAAAGGCATCTGCTAGGTGACAGCATCAGGGGAAAGGCCTCTGTGCCCTCCACAGCAACCAGATGCTAGATTAGATGGATCCAAGAGGGTATCTCTGGTAGACTGCACATAGTGCTAAAAAAAGCCCTCAATCCCAAATGGCCAACCAACACCAGAGTGAGAACTGCAACCCTACAGCAGGTACAGCTGGAAGGGGATCTTCTCTCTTTCTGCTCTCGTGACAAGTATTGCAGTGGGGACACCTCAAAACTACTTTTCGCTGCAGCGTGCTGTGAAGCCACTCAAACACCCACGTTCTGTCAAAATAAAATTTATGCAAGATCACATTTTCATCTTTGCCACTGATGGAAGACAGGAGCAGCCTTGGGAGTTTTGAGAGCACCCCGGCTGGGTCTGGCACATGTTCCCTTTTAAAACAACCTGCATCGCCATCTCGAGCTTTGGGCAAGTGTTTGAAGAGGGCGTGAACCCCGGCTGGGTCTGGCACACATTCCCTTTTAAAACAACCTGCATCATCGCCATCTCGAGCTTTGGGCAAGTGTTCCCTCCCTTGCCCCCTCTTAGACCCCATTTAAACTCTGATGCTGGCGAGACAAAAAGGCCTGACTTAGGAGACCTTGCCTGGGTGGCACGTCAGGGACTGGGCACATGGGTAGGTGTTGGCCTGATATTTTAACTAAAGAGGCATGGCTGGCATCACATGACCTGAGTCATGACATACATGTAGCAGACCAGTTTCAATGAGCTGCAGGCTGAGTGCGAACGCCCAGGACTAAGGACTTCTACCCTGGTATCTGACGAAGGGGGCTTGGACTCTCAAAAGCCCCCCCCCAGCTTGTTGGTCTCTTAAGGTGCGACGGGACTCAAATCTCGCTCTTCTACTTTTACCGTCAGTGTCATGTTTCAATCAGGCCAAAGTACATGTCTTCTTAGGCAGTGAGAGCTGGGCTGTGTCACTTCATTCTGCGATGGGATTCCCCCCCACACACACCAATGATGGGATAAAGTTCTCTATGCAGAGAAAACAAGCATGTCTATGACTCATTAAAAAGGCTGACAGAAAGGGCCAGGAAGTTCTCTGTGTGCCAGATTTTTGTTTTTCAATCCAGAGCCGGTCAGTCACGTAAATCCATGCTTGCAACCGGACGTGATCCAGCCCAGAAAATTCTCCCTCTCTGCTGGATGGCATCAGTCTTCGCCCATTTTATAAAGCAACACTAAGAAATGGTGTGTCTTACTGTGGAGTGTGAAACCCATCCCACACACATCGGGGAGGGGCCACATAGGTTATCCACTGCTCCCATCCTACGTGACAAGGATCGGCCAAAAGCCCAACCCCCTTCATGAGCCAGGCCAGGATCTCCAAAGCTGTTGCTGTGGCAGAGAGTATGTCCACTGAACAACAGGAGCCATTGTAGAGTAGGGACCGTCAGCCCTGTTGTAACCAGGGAAGGGAGGTGGCTGTTGACCGCGTTGGTTGCTGGAGGTCCCCCATGGTTGCCAGGGGACAGAAACAGGTTCTCCCAGAAGGCTCAGCAGTTCACACAGTCTACTGTCCTGGCACGTGTTGTCAAGAGGAGGGTGGCCCGTTTCAGGTCACGCCAACGTTGAGGTAAACCTTCCATCAGTCCCGGCCCAGCCGATAGATGTGGTGCTGTGCTCCCCGCTCGCTGGCAGAGACTTCGAACACAAAGGCCACGCACAAGAGCAACTCCTGAGTTTCTTGATCCCGCAAAACCTGTTGTAGGGGGAAGATTCATGCAGAAGTTTCGTCACAGGATGGCCTTCTCCTAGAGCTACTCGGTTTACGGGGAATCTGCCCCAGCCCCGCTGATCTACCCAGGGATCTTGTTTTCTCCCGGCCTCAGGGCTATTTTGGGGCAGGAACGCACAGGAACGGAGTTCCGGCTGGCTCCCGAGTTGGCCACACCCAGCAGGAACTCATTAGCATAACAGGCCACACCCAACAGCAGAAACTCATTAGGATTGGCTACATTAGGGGTGTGTGGCCTAACATGCAAAGGAGTTCCTGCTATAAAAAGGCCCTGGGTTTTGACAACAAACAAGGTAAACAGAATAAGAAGCAAAAGGTGGGTGTGGCTGGATGAGCACACTTCTGGCAACACGGGGATGTGGCCTCATATGCTAAGGACCTGTGCTGTCAGGGGTGTGGCCTAATAAGATAATACGTTTCTGCTGTTGGGTGTGGCCAGTTATGCTAATGAGTTCCTGCTGGGCTTTTTCTACAAAAAAAGCCCTGCCCGGCCTCTGTTATTGTAAGACCCAGCCGCTTAAACCATATTTAGTTATGGGACACCCACCCAAATTTACTTTCCCTTCTTGGCTCTTCCAAGTTCCACACTCGGCCAGCTCACAAGCTGGGGGCTACACTTTACTGGCTTGCTTTGGAATGCTGGGAAAGGAAGCAGATTTTTTTTTTGTTCTGGCAGCGGCCGTGGAAGACACACAAAGCTGGAGAAGCTCCCGCGTCTGGTTTGCCTTGCCTCACGCTTGTGGTCCTGGAGAAGGAGGAGCAGCAGCCAGTAGTTATAAGTCTGGTCTGCACGGGCAGCATGAACTGCGAAGGTGGCTGAATGGACTGCAGTCAGGGACGGCTCCAGCTTATTTTGCACCCTAGGCGAGGATCCCTTCTGCGCCCCCCCCCCCCCCCCCCCCCCCCCCCCCACCCCCCACCCAAACAAAAAAAAAATAAATGCATTTTAGGAAGAATGAAAAACACAAATAATCAAGAAACTCCCAGAGTATGGGTCCGGGTGCAGTTTGGTGCCCCTAAGGGCCGTCCTGCTCTAGGCGATCGCCTAGTTCACCTAGTGAGTGAGCCGGCCCTGACTGCAGTACTTCTCACCGTGGTGTCCAGACAGCACCACAACAGGTAGTTAGTTTGCATACAAGCCTTTGTCTAGGGAAGGTGCCGTGGCTCAGTGGTAGAGCATCTGCTTGGCATGCAGAAGGTCCCAGGTTCAATCCCTGGCATCTCCAGTTCGAAGGGTCAGTTAAGAGGTGTTGCGTGAGACCTCTGGCCTGAGACCCTGGAGAGCCACTTCCAGTCTGAGCTGGGAATACTGACTTTCAATGGACCAATGGTCTGGTTCAGTGTAAGGCAACGCTGTGTGTACTCTAGCATGCTGATTTCGTTCTCTTCAACGCTTTCTAAAACATGGGGAATACTGGAGCAAAACGATTTTTGTAAACGTCCCTTCAGATACTGCTCTGTTTGTATCTACGGGTGGATTTCATCCTTCTACACGTAAAGATCTGCTACCCTCTGGACTATCCTTCCCCTTTTCTGGACACTGCCTAATGTAAGTTACTTACAAGCTACTTGAGATCTACTTTTGTCAGCCTTGTTATATATTCTACTGTAGTTACTGGAACACCCCCTAGTCCTGGTTTGCTGTGATTAATGTATTTGCGAGTTTATTAAACATTTGTCCATTTATGGTATTCATTGTAAACAAAACATGGGGACTGTTAAATAAAATTGCTGGCCCTACCTGCAAGTTGTAATTCATGCCACCACCACCTGAATGTTCTACCACTCTGTTGAATGAGGCTTCCCCATAAGGCAGCAGTAGCTGCTTCCCTCTAGAAAGCAAAGGCAGCTGCAGCAAAGACCACGCCCAGCAAGCCTCTCCAGCCCCATCTACCTGTAGTGGCTGCCGGCAGAAGAGAGTCTGCGCCTTTTCCCAGCATTCTACACCCAGGTAGAAAGGGAAGAAAAATGCAGTAGTGTTCTCCTCATCCTCCTTTGATCAGTGATGTTTTGAGAGAAAGAGATGCTTTCTGTATCCGTTCTCTTGAGTGCAGTTTCTGTTTACATGAAACTCTGAATCTGGCAAGAAATCTCTGTTCTGGCTCCCTTCCTCTTCCTCAACAAAGTCCCACTGTAAGACGTTTCCTCCCCATCCGCCCCCGCCCCCCAATACCTGCAGGATGGTGAAGTTTTCAAGCACGCTATCCATCATTGGCTTTTCCGGCAGCGTTCGCAGTTTGCGGATAAAATTAACGAGGTACTCGCAGAGCGGAGAGCGCGGCAGGCAGAAAACAAAGCGTCCGTCTTCCCAATGGGGCGGCTCGGCCGTCTAAGCAGACGGGGCAAGTGAAACAGGATGGTTAGTGGCAAACTGGGCAGAGAAACCCCCCTAATATCTCAAATACCCTTCTTCCTCCCACAAGAGGATTGGTTCCCAAGGAACAAAGCTGCTATTCCACACAAACTTACTAGAATGTAAGCTCCACTGAATATCAGTGGGGTCCATTTTCTAATTCCAGTTAGGTCAGTTTTGAGATATAAGCCATCTGAACCCACAAACGCCAAGGTAGAACTGGCTAAAGTCTTTCCCAAACACAGAACTTTCTTGATTCCCCGAGGTCCCCACTCTGGCTAAACTACAGATCCACAACCTTAATCCCAAAGTCCCCATCTCTATGCTGCTAAAGGTCTAGAAATCGTCTTTATGCTAGCCCCCAACCATCTCTCCTGCAAATCTAAATTTCCAAAAAGCGTACCAGGGCTCAAGCCTGACTTGAACTCCTGATCTTTGACCTGGAAAGCTTTCCCCTGCTGAAGACCAAATATGTGAGCTCTGGGTACAGCGGGTTACTTTGTCTTGAACTCCAGCACTAAAGCCCAGGTTTTGAGAAAGCCCTTCTATTCCCAAATCTGCAGCCCTCCAACTCCAAACTCAGAGCCTGGCTACACAGACGACTCGCCACCAGACGTGCCGTCCCGTGTAACCGAGCTCTGACAGCTGAGAATTATCCTGGTCCTCTGAAGACCTGTAGAGAAAGCTGGAGGAGATCACAGGCGAAGGTACAGGGAAGGAGAAGATGCTGCCTCTCCCATCCCCTTCTGCTTGTTTCTCTCAGCTTCGCAGCTGGTGCTCTCCACTGCTCTTCTCCCTCCCCAACTCTTAAGGAAAATCAGCTGCAAAGCTGAGAAATGAAGGGAAGAGAAAGGCAGCCAGGAATTCTGGCTTCGCTGGGCTCTTATCTGCCATTCCACCCAGCTCTCTCTTGCTTGTCTGCTTACAGAGCTTGGATTCACGCCGGGCTACGTTGTATGGGGCTGGTGTCTGTTAACCGTAAGGCTGTGCTCTTCTCCACCTCTCCACTGCCCGCTCAACCCCTCCATTCCCTCACACCCTCCGAGAGCCCCCCCCGCCCGCACCCACCTCCAGTTTTTCCACCACCTGTTTGCCAAAGGAGCAGACCTTGGAGGTGCAACTCAGAGTCAGAGCCCGTGGGCCCTCGTATCGGCTGCTCACCCCATAGAAGGCCCCTCCTGTGCCCCCTGGCTCTTCTTCGGGGAGGGGAAAGCTCAGATCAGCCTATGGCATGGGAAAATGAAAGAGAAACAGAGCGTTTTTCATGACTGGTGTGTAAAACAACACTTCTTACATCTCAGGTGCTTTGACATAAGAACTTAAGAGAAGCCATGTTGGATCAGGCCAATGGCCCACCCAGTCCAACACTTTGTGTGTCACACAGTGGCCAAAAATCAGGTGCCATCAGGAGGTCCACCAGCGAGGCCAGAACTCCAGAAGCCCTCCCACTGTTGCTTCCCAAGCACCATGGATACAGAGCATCACTGGCCCAGACATAGTGTTCTATCTATACATTGCAGTTAATAGCCACTGATGGACCTCTGCTCCACATTTATCCAATCCCCTCTTGAAGTTGTCTATGCTTGTAGCCGCCAGTTCCTGCACCAGTGAATTCCACGTGTTAATTACTCTTTGGGTGAAGAAGTACTTCCTTTTATCTGTTCTAAACCTACTGCTCATTAATTTTATTGAGTGTCCACAAGTTCTTGTATTGTGAGAAAGGGAGAAAAGTACTTATTTCTCTACCTTCTCTAATCCATGTATAATTTTGTAAACTTCTATCATGTCACCCCTCAGTTGTTGTTTCTCCTAGCTAAAGAGCACTAACCTCTTTAACCTTTCTTTATAGGAAAAGTGGTCCATCCCCTAATCATTTTAGATTGTATGAAAAGTTGTTCTTTAAGGGCCCATTGTTACGATAGAACCAAAACAGAAGGGGGTGGGGGACCCTGCCCTTATAAACATCAAAGTTGGGTACCCAAAGGCTGGGTGAGAAAAAATTATGAGAGATAAACAAAATATATGTATTTATTACAAAGTGCACTAAAACTCTACTTTCCCCTGTTTTTATAGACACATTCTGCCCTTGAAGTAGCAAATATCTGAACTTAGAAGTCCTGAATCTATATAACATGATGCAATTCAATATCTCTAAGCTGAAAACCTTGAAACACATTAAAACACAGGACCAAATGTGTTTCAGCCTATAAGGCATTCCAAATATTCTGTGTGGTATTCTTCAACTTTTAAGCACACACATCATGCAAATGCAGATTCAATAACTCCTACTGACCCTGGCTATAAAAATGTTCGGAGTGTGCACATATGTATCCACCTTTAGCTGATGGCCACCAGGCACATATCTTGCTCATCCCAGCAAGGCTTAGATCAGAGGTGTCAAACTCATTTGTTATGAGGGCTGGATCTGACATAAAAGTTACTTTGCTGGGCTGGGCCATGTTTGCCATAAAATGTAATCCAGGTACTAGAGATATAAACTTTATAAACAACACAGGCAAATCTAATTAATGACATTATTTTTTACTCAAAATACAAACAAAAGGAATTGATTCCTAGGAGTTAAAGCAATTGATTTACTGGGGAATCCACAGAAGCCCCAATAAATGTGTTTAATCAAATGCAAGACTAGGTATTTCCAAAGGGATACCGAACCCGCCCGCTAGCCATTTCCTTTAAGTTCTTGACAGCTTTGACCACACACAGCTCACTGTGTGTGCCTGTGCGCCTGCTCCCCCACCCCCCAGCAGCCTTCTGCCTTTCCTCTCTTCCACCAGTTGCTTGCGAGTTGGATAAAAGCCCTGAATGGGCTGGTTCTGGCCCCCGGGCCACATGTTTGACATCCCTGGCTTAGGTTCTGATGTTGAAATTAATACTTCTGTCTTTGGATTGACTTTAGAGATAATTTCTAACCAATCCTTCAACCATGGATGCAATGTTTTTTAAAAAACAGTAATAATATTCTTATTTTAAAATTTGAGTCTTGAGCTTTATGCGTAAGTTCTTCATTGCTGGGAAGATCCTTAGCGCTGCTTTCAATTAGCCAGCGTGCAAAACCTAATAAATAGATCTTCTCGGTAAGGACTGTGCAAGGTAGGAGGCCTTACGTCTTACAGTGGGGCAAAATGGGACAAAATCCACAAGTGAGAAGGGATTCACACTCCAGTCCAAGAGCAGAGAAGAAGAAAAGATTGGATTTATCCCCCACCACGACCTGAAGAAGTCTCAGAGTGGTTTACAATCTCCTTTCCTTTCCCCTCCCCACAACAGACACCCTATGAGGTAGGTGGGGCTGAGAGAGCTCTTTCGAGGACTGCCCATGAGAGAACAGCTCTGAAAGAACTTATGACTGGCCCAAGGGCACACCAGCAGCTGCATGTGGAGGAGTGGGAAATACTGAATACACAGATTGCTACGTGTTATCCGCAAGCGTCTAACAGATGCTGGAAATGTAAAGCAAACGTGGGGACGTTCTACCACATGTGGTAGAAATGTAGTAAAATGCTTAAGTTTTGGAAAATGGTACAAAAAATTATTTTTGAAATATTGAACCTAGAGATGGAACTATCGCCTGAAATATATTTATTGAATATGATCCCAAAAGGTTATACAAAACAAGACAAATACTTGATAGTATATATAATAACTGCGGCACGTATATTAGTGGCTAGAAACTGGAAGACAGATAAATTACCCTCAAAAGAGGACTTAATTGTAAAACTCTTAGCGTTAGCCCAAATGGACAACTTGAGTTTAATACTACAAGATAAAGACCATAATTGTCAAAAACAAAGGTGATTTAGGGTATATGAGTGGATAAAACATGTACCAGACTAATAAAGAAATAAATAGTTTTTATTATGTGTTAAGAATGTAAATATGGATTAACAACTCTAAAATATGTGTAATCTAACAAGATGAAATGTTTATATTTTTTCCCCTGAGAACTTTTGAAAATAAACGGTTAAAAAAAATACTGAATGCACAGTTCTGCCTCCCGCTGAAAGAGTTGCAGTGACACTGTATGAAGCAACAGGAAGATTTCCCGCTCCTCCACATGCAGCTGCTGGTGTGCCCCTGGGTATCCCAGTTCCTGGTTCTCCCAGATTAGAGTCCATGCTCCTTACCACTACACCAAACTGGCTCCAAAAGTGGATCACAGTGCAGTTCTACAGGGAGTTACTCCAGTCTAACTCTATTGATTTCAGTGCATTGTCAGTTTCTTCCCTTTTTTTGCTGCCTCCCACCAGTCAATAAATCTTGGGGCAGGCCAAGCACTTCCCTGTGATCTGGAACATCTCAAAATCTGCTCACCTGCTCAGTTCCTCCCCAACCAATCCACTGAACCTACTGGTTGAGGTGGGTAACATGGGGAAGCGTCCATGTCGTGTCACCAGCCTCTTTGCTGGGCCTCCTTATTACTTAGGGATTCAGGAGAGGAGACGGAAAGAGATCTGAGGGGTTCTCACCCAGAACTTGACCAAGAAGAAGGCGTGGGGAGGGCCTTGGTCATACAAGTCTCGCAGCCCGCCTCCTCGCTCGGGGAACTTGTCGTAGATTTGGCGCACGTCCACCATCTCCAGGGGTGAGTCCGTGGCAGGCGCGGAATCGATGTGCACAAAACGATGCTGCTGCTGACATTGTGGAGGACAAAGGGGACCAAAGTCAAAGACGGAACTTGTGGATACCTGCACAGATCCATCCGTTGCAATTGCAAAGATTTCTGTAGACGCAGAAGGGGAGGGGCTGTGGCTCAGAGGAAGAGTCTCTGCTTCTGACAGGTCCTAAATTCAATCCCCAGCATCTCCAGCTGAAAAGAGCAAGCAGGAGGTGATGTGAAAGACCTCTGCCTGAGACACCGGAGAGCCGCTGCCAGTCTGAATAGACAATCACTGACCTCGACGGACCAAGTAGGAGGCAGCTTCATGAGTGACACACTATGCAAAGTGACAATGACTGCCTGGCTTTTCGACTTCTCAGATAACATTCAGCATTCTTACAACACCTGATGAGCATAAAAGGCATTCTCTGCTTATGTTCTCGGCATATCTGCCAACAACGCTGCAAGATAGGTCAGTGTTGTTCTCCCATACAGGGGCCCCAAGCCTGCTCCCCGAGACCCAGTCCTCATTGCAATCATGATATTTAACAGGAGCCTGAATACTGAATGCACAGTTCTGCCTCCCGCTGAAAGAGTTGCAGTGACACTGTATGAAGCAACAGGAAGATTTCCCGCTCCTCCACATGCAGCTGCTGGTGTGCCCCTGGGTATCCCAGTTCCTGGTTCTCCCAGATTAGAGTCCATGCTCCTTACCACTACACCAAACTGGCTCCAAAAGTGGATCACAGTGCAGTTCTACAGGGAGTTACTCCAGTCTAACTCTATTGATTTCAGTGCATTGTCAGTTTCTTCCCTTTTTTTGCTGCCAACCAGGAATTCTAAGTTTAACCACTCCACCACACAGGCTCTGCTAGGTCAGGGAAATTGTTTGTCACAAAAGGGATATTTTTCACCCTCCCTGCCTGTGCTGCTCACCCTTGCTGGCATAAGTAAAGCTATGCTTCCATTGCAAATACCAAAGGGAAATTTGGAAGTTAATCTATGCCAGGATGGTCCAATTCCCTTCATTTCTGGCACTGCAAGTGCCACCATCCTCCTCCTGAAGCTGGTGGCCAATTTTGAGACTCCTACCTTTATTTTCTGATGAGTTATGCCTGCCAGAGGCCCTGGTCGCACGGGCCGGATATCGCGGGGGGGG